TAAAATTCGCCTACTTTAACCATTTCAATTCTATATAAATTTTCTCATAAATAAATATTGCTCAAATTTATTCTTGTGACTAACTATTCATCTATAATGAATTTATATTTATCTCTACTCAGGTTTTTAGTTTTATAAATAAAATAAAATTTATTTTTATTAAATTTTTAACCCCAAGCATAAATTTTAGCTATATTTATTCATACGAAAATGATTGTAGAATTAAAGCGGTTAAAAGTAGATAAATGTTACCTATAATAGATAGGGCCTAGAAAATTTACAGAGGGGTAATCTAAATTGTATTATTCACTACGAATAACATCATTTCCACATTTTTGCTTTCCTCTACATAGACAGTATATTGTTGGAAAGCGAAAAAACGAACCTTCACTCACGAGATAAAAGAACAAGATCAAAAGGAAATTCGAAAAGTTTTCTACACTAATTCAATAAGTTTTAGTGAATCTCTCGTTCATTCAAGATCTCAACCGTGCCCTTCTCTCTCTCTTTCTCTCTCTCTCTCTCTCTCTCTCTATATATATATATATATATATATATATATATATATATACATATATTTTAATTTAATAGCTACTCATAGACATTTCGGTTAAAAAATCTCCACAGATATTTAAAATTGCATCCATAAGATTTCATATTGTCAACAATACACTTTTATTTTCATCGATATTAACGAAAATTGCAATAAAGTGCCCATGGTAAAACCAGCTGAGTGAGAGTAGTGGGGACAGCTTATCAAGCTTCACCTTAATCCTGGCAGCCTTTCAGGTGATAAAGTGAAGGAATGCAGCAAGACGCAAATACCGTCAAACCTGTTTGCATGTTGACTATGCATCTTTCAAACAGCTTCGCAATGGAATCCAATCCACAATCCGATTTGCTAAATCCAACTACTTTCATAATGCCCTTTCCAATGCTTCAGATTCCAAATAAAAATGGAAAATACTTCTAATATATCCCTACTAGAATCCAATAATTTCATTTCCCTCCCTGTGAATCCAGATGACCTGAATAACCATTCCTTATCTTTTGCAAACTCCTTTTTTCCCATGTGTCCTACGACGAAGTACTTTCCGCTATAGTAAAATTCCACACTAACGATTACGGTCCTGAAAATATTCCAGTAAAACTAATAAAATCTAGCCTTCCTACCCTTATTACCGTACTTTACCATATCTACAACTTCTTATTGCAAAATTCCATATTCCCCTCTTAATGGAAAACTGCACTGGTCCGACCTTTGAATAAAACTCCTAACCCTTCCTCACTGAACGACTTCCGTTCTATTTCCCCTCTTTCCAATCTTTCAAAACAGCTGGAACGCCTTGTCCAAAATCAACTTTCCAAATTCCTTGAAGAACATTCCCTCATCAATCTATTCCAATCTGGCTTTCAACCTGGCTATTCAACGTAATCTGCCTTCCTTAAAATCTGTCTCTATCCTGCAGTATCCTGTGTTGGTTCAAATCCTTCCTTTCCGATAGATTCAAGTATGTAGCCGTCCCAGATCAACCTCCTTCTAAAACACTTCCCCTCTCCTGTGATGTCCCTCAGAGTTCCCCCTTTTCTCCTGCTCTGTTTGCTATTTACATTAATGACCTTACCTGATCCATCCTCCTGATCCATTGCACCCAATACCACATCTATACCGATGATTTCCAAATATACCTGTCCTTCCTCCCTTCTGCCCAATAAGCCGCCACAAAAAAGCATCAAGAAGACATAAATAGAATATGTGAAAGGGTAGGAGCTAACAAGCTGAAGTTGAATGCGGAAAAGACAAAGGCAATCCTAATAGACTCCAATCACCTCCTTAAAACTGTTCCTAACATTCCAACCTTGTTCCCACCTGATAATCCCATCAAATTCTATCCAACCTTAGAATAATCTTTGATCAAACCATTTTCTTGAAAACCATGTATCCAATATCTCCCGTCTTTTCCATCATTTCAACTTTGAAACACTTAAATAGCCTCCATCACCTTTTTCCTTCGAAACCGGTAGACTTTCCCTTCATCCTTAATTTTTCCCCACTTTGACTATTGCTGTACGGCCTATAGGGATCATGAGGCGGAACTAAAACGTTTGATAAATTGCCTTATACGATTCATCTTGGGAATCCCAAGGGACGCCCCTGTTCCTTGTTTTATGAATGGAACTGAATCCCTCTCCACATGCGTGGCTCCAATACTCTCCCTACTTTTAAATCCCGCCTATTCAATCGTTCCTTTCCATCCAGTTCCTATAAAATTGTAAATAGAAATTTCTGTAAATATCTATATATATTATTGCTTTATTTTCAATTATTTTAATTTCATGTTTCTTTCATTTTTTTTAAATCGATTTAAGTTAGAAGATAACTTTTTTCTATTATATCTAATAGTTTACTTTGCAAATACATTTATATATATCTGAGGCAGAAAGCCCACATTTCTGTTCTTGTTAATGATTCTAAAGGGATTCGTCCTAGAATAAATAAAATATTATTATTATTATTATTCACAAGATGGATGAGGAAAAGCGAATAAAAATTCGGAAAATTTTACAGTAAATCATCATTTTCGCCTACTACTATATAGCCGGAATACTTTTAGAACAGTGAAAAATGGAGCATCCATTCACAAGATAAAAGGGAAAAAGCTAACGAAAATTCGGAACTTTTTCTAGATCATTTTTCCATTTTCGACTACCTTTACACAGCCTGGAAATTCTTGGAACTGCGAACAACCTATACTTCATTTCCGAGATAAAATAGGAAAAGCGAAAGAAAGTTTGGAAAAAATTATAAACTAATTCTTCATTTTCGCCTACCTCTACATAGTCGGACAACTGTTGGAAGGGTAAAAAACCGAGCGTTTATACACGAGATAATAGAGGAAAAAGCGAATGAAAAGGCTTTCATTCAAACTCATAATCTATACATCTCTCGTAGAAATTTATTATCATATAACTACTTTAATATGGGTGCAGGAAAGCGGTTCTTAAAGCGCACGGAATCGAAGGTACATTTCAGTCATAGTTTTTGGCACACTCAACTTTTTATTTAATTTTATATCCTTTTGGTTCGCTAAGCCTTTTATTACTATTATTATTATTATTTATTCTTTATCACTATTATTATTATATGAATTGTGCGTTCCGAAGTCCAACCGATCCAACGGCATTTCGCCTATTCGCATATTATGACTCTACATAAGCTTAAATTGAATTATTGAAAATTTTTTGAAAATTATTGAGCATAAAATTTCTTATTGAACTCAGGTATGATAGTTAATAAATGTAAGGGTGAAAAATCATTAGAGCGATCGGACTTAAAAGCTCATTTGGGCCCTTATTTTTTTTTTATTATTATGAATGTTGATGTCCCTCATGCGAACAGAATATATAAAAGATATTGAATTGGTTTAAACAGTCTGGTTCTGTTATAAATATAGTTAAATCAGTCAAATCAAAATTATTGAAAAGCCTAAAGGTGCTAAAGTTGAATGCGACAGAAACTATGATTGAAATGCGACTTCAATTCCGTGCACTTTAACTGCCGCTTACCTTCTTAAATGAGGTATATATAAGATCCAACAGAATTAATAATAATCAAAAACTTAAGAACCTAAATAAGCTCCAAATTCAGAGCGCTTTGATGTCTTTTAACTTTTCTTATTTTAACGATTTAAACCGAGATCAATAAACATTTTGATGCACTTTCAATTTATTTCAAGCTTATGTAGAATCGTGATATGTGAGTAGGCGAAATGTCGTCTCACCACTCAAACTTTAAAATGCATTCTGATCCTTATTTTTTTTAATATTGCTATGAATCTTGCAATCTCTCATGCCTACAGAATATATAAAAGCTATGCAATTTGTTTATACATTCTAGTTCTGTTATAAATACAGACAAATAGAAGAAATTAGCCCCGTAGCTAAAAGAAAAAGTCCTCGGGGCCGAATTGAAAGTCATTCGGATAAAATTTAAATAGAAGAAAATAAAGAAGAATCAGCCAGCCCCATCTTCTTAACTGTTAAAAAAACGCCGTGAGGAAGACTTTAAAAAATGTTCTTCTTTTTTTATTCATAAATTCGTCACTGGGTTTCTTGGAGAAGTTAAAAAACTAAGTGATGGGTCACTACTGATTGAGACCTATAAAGGTACCCAATCTATAACCTTAATGAAAAGTAAAAATTTTGGGGGACAATTTCCAATTGAAAGAACTCCACATAATACGCTTAATTATAGTGAGGGTATTAGCAAAGTTTACGACTTTCAATATCTCGAAATTGAAGAAATAAAGAAAGAAATGGGCCCAACTATAAAAGCTATTGTTAGAATAAAAAAAATAAATAAAAAAAACGGTAATGAAATAGCGACTCACATTCCCAACACCCAACGCGCCTAAAGCGATAAGAGTTGGATATCAAATGGTTGAAGTACGAGCCTATGTGCCTAATCCACTAAGGTGCCTGAACTGTCTAAGGTACAACTTCTAACTTCAAAGTGTACAAAACAGCCAGTATATATATATATATATATATATATATATATATATATATATATATAGTGTGTGGAAAGCTCCGGCATGCCGAAAATTCTAAATGCAAAAAAAAATTTTAAATCCAAAAATATCGCACTGTATTAACTGCCGCAATATGCACCACGGGCTAGATCGCAACTGTCAGTATTTCAAATGCAAAAAGAAGTATAATCGATCCAAATTAATAATAAAATATCTTAAATGGATGCAAACGAATTTTATAAAGAACGATTCCCTAATATTCTAAATAAATATTTTGCTGAACTAACTAAAGAAAAACTAAATAATGCTGAAAAAAAAGAAATGAGTACCCAAGTCGATTTCCCATTCATTTTTTGAGAAAATTTAAATAATAATATAAATAATCACGATGATAATACTAAAGATGACTTAAGTGTTAATAATACTCAAACTGTTAACTCCGTTATTTTTGAAGTAAATAAACAACAGATGACCTCTTCCTCGGTCCCAGCTACAACCCCACTCCTCCCCTCTCCTTGTCCTCTATGGAACGAACACTCCAAACCAGAAGTTGTAGTCACTCCAAGGGCTCGTCTCCTCCCCTCACTACTTCTCCTCTCCCCACTCCTACCACTGGCATTGGCTCTTCTGCTTCAAGCTCCCCTCTGCAATCGCGAGTTTAACAACTCCCTCTCAGGACGACGCAATTGCCTCTATGGCTGTCGACGAGGAGGGTTTTGTAGAAGTAAAAACAAATAGAAAGGCAACTAATAAAAAACAACGACCTCAAATCAGTGTTTTGTTTTAACACACAGTCCACTATTCATTCCTATCTGTGCTTATACTATTTGTGTTTATATTTCGATGAATATGTGTGTGTATACATCTGTATGGTTTGTATATGAGTGTGTATTTATGTGTATGTGGGTGTTATGTTATACATTCATGTGTTTCTTTTTTTTTTTTTTTTTTTTTTCTTCATTGATATTTACAACTGTATTATAAAAAAAAATACAACTAGTAAATGTGCACACAGTAATAATACAATCAGATGAAAACGCTTGTTGAGAAACTACCCATTGGTAGCACCATAATAATTTATTTACATAAGTAGGTCACGAGGTCATCTTCTTTTCAGACGCCTCGGAGGTATTTTAAATCTCATTTTAATGATTCAAAGGGTTTAATATATCACACAGATTCTTTTTGCCTTGCCCTTCAGGAGACTCAACTCTCTCTCATGTAGACGCGATTGTCTCTATGGCTGTCGACGAGGAGAGTTTTATAAAAGCAAAAACAAATAGAAAGGCAACTAATAAAAAACTTCGACCTCAAATCAGTGTTTTGTTTTAACATACAGTCCACTATTCATTCCTATCTCTGCTTATACTATTTGTGTTTATATTTCGATGAATATGTGTGTGTATACATCTGTATGGTTTGTATTTGTGTGTGTATTTATGTGTATGTGGGTGCACCTATACATTCGTTTGTATGTGCACGTATAAAAAAAACCTGTACCACTACAACCCATGAAGGGTCTTGGGTTCAGTACTATTTAGGGAAAGCACTGTTTCTAGATCAACGGTTGAGCAAGAAGGTGATTTGACCGAGATCACGCTCAACCGCCAGGTTTTTCCCCTTAATCAATTATTTAATTAAGGGTACCCACTTTATAGAGGCTGGTTGTGCCCCAGGAGAGTCTCCCGACACAGGGTCGCCCAACGGCCAATGAAACAGATAAATAAATCTTCTGCCATGAGCCAGGGTTCGAACCTGGACCTATGCTTTAATATGAACTTTATTGAATTTATGTATATTTACCTGTTCTTTCATTATTTACGTTTCTATTATTTCCACTTAATTACCTATTTACTAATTTATTTACTTTTCTTTCTAATACCATTTTACTTAATATTCTTTTCTTTTATTTCGGTGAATAATATTTAGTTTCTAATTTATTTATTAATTTATGACAGACCTCTTAGACCAATTGTTAGCAATATTGATGATATAACGGAAAAACTGGAAAAATTCCTAAGCTTAGCCTTAAAGAATTTGAACAATAATAACAGATACGATGTGAAAAATGCAATACAACTAGAAGAGAAAATTTTTTAAATTTAGAAATATAATAATCTGTTATTTGGACAATAATTATAGTGATATATGAACACATTCACACCATATATACAGAAAATATAAAATCAACAAAAGTAAAATAATAATCAAAAACTATGTACAATTAAAAAATAAAATAACCTAAAGATAAGTAAATTAAATAACATAAAAACAAAGTCATACCTGTATACAATATATGAAATTAGGCATGGTACCTCAAACCAGGCTTCTCCCTCCAACTATAGAAGGAAAAGCAGGACTCCGAGAGACCCCTGCGCGACTCTCTCAACCACTTCACTGGTGCTAAAGCTAGTGTAGTTTGAGCGAGAGCGCTTTAGCCACATACACTCATGTCTTGAGTGGAGAATCTGGCCATTGCCAGAACTCCAAGATATATACTTCAAAAAATCTCTGGGCCACTTCGAGAAGGATTGTAGGGATGAGTGGAACTAGATAGGGATTGTGCTAGGGGATTTGGATGATTTATAAGTTTCTGATAGAATTGGAAATTTTTTTAGGGATAACGTCGAGGACAAATGGGATATTAAGGTCATGATGCAGGGTTTTGTTGGTTACATAAAACGGAGCATCGACTATTGTTTGGAGGATTTTGGACTGAAAGGATTGGATGCGTTTAATGTTAGAAAAGTTTGCTGTCCCCCAAAGTTCAAGTTCGTAGGTCCAAATAGGTTTCAGAATTGTCTTGTAGATCAATAATTTGTTGTCAATTGAAAGTTGAGATTTTCTAGTCAGTAGTCTGTATAATTGATCCTTCAGCCCTCTGTTAGTTTCTAGTATTTTAAGTCTAGTAGGTGGGTTCCACGTTAGTCTTCGGTCTAAAAGAAAGCCCAGATACCGGACTGTGTCTGAAAAAGGAAGCTGGATGGAATTAAATTGGACTGGTGGACAGGATCTGCACCGGAGAGTGAAGGTAATGCGTATCGTCGGTTAAGTTCTTGCCTCTTAAGTCGAGTATGTGGGTTCCACGTTAGTCTTCGGTCTAAGATAAAGCCAATATAATAACGTCAATAGGAGCTATTGATAATTGAAGTATTATTGGATTATGATCTGAGGTAAGTTCGTCAAGACGGGTAAAGGGTTGATTGAGGGGACCTAAACTACTGTGTCTGAAAAAGGAAGCTGGATGGAATTAAAGTGGACTGATGGACAGTATCTGCGCCGGAGTGTGATGTTAATATTTTGCATTTGGATTCGTTTAATTTGATGCGCCATTTATTACACCAGTGCTCAATCAGGGAGAGGTGCCTTTGCAGATTTAAAGATGCTATTTCGGGATCTTAGTTGGATGATAGGATGGCGGTGTCATCAGCAAATGTTGCGTTCCATATCAAATAAATTTAAATTCACTATGGAAATTGAGAATAATAATAAAATAAGATACCTTGACAAGTATATTGACAGAAATGAAAGTGGCGATCTTAGCAAGTCATGGTGCAAAAAAACAATAACTAGTAATAGAATCCTAAATCGGCACAGTAACCACAAAAAACATAAAATAATTAATACAGCTAAAAATGTAATAGACAAGACAAATTTAATTACCTATAAATATCATATGAAAGAAATCAAATCACAAATATATGAAATTCTATTATCTATAAATTTATGTTATAGATAAATTTAAAATATGAAAAAGGAGCACATCAGACTTTAGCCATGAATTGAGAAGAAAATATTTTTTTTTTATGTTTAAATCTTTTTATTGATTAATAATACATTTTGCTACACTAATAGGAAAATATGGTATTGTAAGTTCTGCAGATAGGAGTAAATTTCCCGAAACGTTAACATGTAAATTCAACAAATAAATCAATTGTTGTATATTTGGATGTTATCATAGCCAAAAACAGAGTGATGTATATCGTTCATGGAAGTTTTTTGTTTTACATCATTATCAGCTTTAAAATAATTTGTTATTAAATTCGGTTCTTTATTAAATGTATTATTTTGGTTTACTTTCTCGCTCTTATTGTCACTATATCTTTATATCTTTTATCTGTTTCTTACTATTGTCATTTTTAAATAACTTTTTATTTTTATACTACAACTTATTTATAATTCTAATGGGGTACCAGTTTTTTAATAGAATTTCATATATTTGTGATTTGATTTCTTTCATATGATTTTGATCTATAATTAATTTTGCCTTGTCTATTACATTTTTAGCTGCATTAATTATTTGATGTTTTTGTGGTTACTGCGCCAATTTAGGATTCTATTAGTAGTTATTGGTTTTTTTGCACCATGACGTGCTAAGATTGCCACTTTCATTTCTGTATCTTATTTTATTATTACTCCCAATTTCCATCGGGAATTTAAGTTTATTTGATATGAAATTTAATTTATTTGGAAAATTGTTAGCTTTATTTTTATATATATTGTAAGTATATCGTCCACGTAGTTTATAATAAGCTACGACTTTTTTTTCGATTTAATTATAGTCTAATATTTTAGATTATTAAGATTTTTGTAGATTTTTCATTTTGTAATAATTGTTATTATACGAGAAATAGTTATCCATTCTCGCAAATTTATTTAATTCCTTCCATAAAAATTTTTTTATCCTTTATCTGTGTAAGGTCCTATTTCATCCCATTGTTTTTTCAGTATTTTATAAATTTCATTAAGTGGAACGTTCGTAAATAAGGATTCAGCGTCATAGCTTACTAAAATTTCATTTTTGTCTATCTTATTTATCCTGTTAATTTTCTCTTTTAGTTGTATTGCATTTTTCACATCGTATCTGTTATTATTGTTCAAATTATATAAGGCTGAGCTTAGGAATTTTTCCAGTTTTTCCGTTATACCATCAATATTGCTTACAATTGGCCTAAGAGGACTGTCATAAATTTTTTTTCTAATAGCTTATTTATTGAAATATATTACAATTTGTTTCAGGGACATTAATAATAGTGTTCACAGAACACATTCACACTCTATGTACAGTAAATAAAATAAATTATACAGAAAAATAATATATATACAATAAACAAGAATAAAATAACCTAAAAATAAATAAATAAAAAGAACACATGCACACCTATATACAATATTTACAACTTGGCGAGAGAACTCCAAACCAGACTTGTCCCTCCAACTGTGGAGGGAAAAGTATGACTCCAGGAGTTCCCTGCACTCCTCTCTCAACCGCGTCACTAGGGCTAAACCCAGTGGAGATTGAGCAAGAGTGCTTTAGCCACATACACTCATGTCGTGAGTGGAGAATCTGGCCATTGCCAGAACTCCAATATTTACAAACTATAAAAGATCGCGGGGCCACTGCCGTTTTAACCTCCTTGGAGGATTATATGGATGGGTGGTGCTGGATAGAGATTTTGCAAAGGGATTTGGATGATGGGTAAGGTTCTGGTGGAATTTGGAGAATTTTGCTGGGATAAGGTCTAGGACAAATGGGATATTAAGGTCATGGTGTAGGGTTTTGTTGGTTACATAGAAAGGAGCATTGGCTATTGTTCGAAGGACTTTTGATTGGAAGGATTGGATGCGTTTGATGTTAGTAAATTTTGCTGTTCCCCACAGTTCGTAAGTCCGTAGTCCAGATAGGTTTCAGTATTGTCTTGTAGATCAGTAACTTGTTTTCAATGGAAAGTTTTGATTTTCTGTTTAGTAGCCGGTATAGTTGTCCGTATCGTCGGTTTAGTTCCTGCCTTTTAAGTCTAGTATGAGGGTTCCACGTTAGTCGTCTGTCCGGGAAAGGAAGCTAAATGGAATTAAAGTGTACTAGTGGACAGGAACTGCGTCGGAGCGTGAAGGTGATGTGTTGGCATTTGGATTCGTTTACTTTAATTC